TCAGATGAAAACTCCATCGACTTAGGGAAAAATGAGTAAGAGGATGGAATAGTCTGAGTTTATTTTTCAAAAAGGAGTTTAATTATGGAAAAGTCAGGAATGGTTATGACTGCTGAGAACTATACAGGGAAAATGGCTCCAGGAGACCCAAAAGGATTCAGTAAGGAGGTTTACCACATAGGAAGTGTAATGAACCCAATTATTTTATTAGAGTCAGCATAGTCCTATTTCTTACAAATTAGTCAAAGTATAAATTTTATCAGAACTGGATCTCAGGAAGCATTTGGAAACAGGAAGCTCCTACCCACACCCTGACATCAAGGAAGAAATTATGGTAATAATTACCTTACCTGCTTGGTAATTTAGTAAGAAGCTATTCAGGTGCAATGTCAAGAAAGCAATTTAGAATCTATTCTTCCTAATACATTTACAGTAATTATCACACTTTCCCACTTAGCACCTCCCTAGTGGCTTCAAGGTGTGTTTATTTCTATTTCTCTTACAGATCTAATTTCCCTCAGGACAGGGGTTTAGATTCTTACAAATAATGGAGAGATTTCCAGCTACTAAGATCCTTGCTTGTAAGCAGGAGGATATTTTCTGACGGAAATTATTCTGAGAGTTGTTTTATTTCCCGGTCGGGCTAATAACACAAAAGCAAAAGGGAAGAATCCGCTGTGCCTGAGGAGGTTAGTAAAACAGCAGCTCTGGCAGGGGAAAAGGCAGAAACCGCCCTGTCTTCTTCTAGTAGAGGCACTGAGCCAGGGACAGAGAGAGCACCAACAAACCCACAGGCAGGCCCACGCCCAGGGCTGAGAGACCCAGGCCGTGTTCCCTGTGTGTGAAAAGGAGGCCCTGCAAGGATATAGGCTCTATTTTCCTTGCTTTTGTCCTCCAGGCTCCCTTTCTCACAGGTTCCCTCCTGCCTGGCTGGCCCAGCAGTGGCAGGGCATCTTGCACATAAATGCAAGCAGGGGGTTACAAGCCCAAGGAATTAAATAGGAATTTGGGCCTACCTGACACTTTTTCTTAAGTTCCCTTTGGTGATTCTCCTCAGGTATTGTGATAGAGGGAACTGGGACAGATATCTTTTAGAGTTAGAAAGAAAACTGAGGTTTTCATTTCAGCCTGGCCATTTGCCGAGTTTGTTGCCTTTGACTAATCAGTTTATCTCTTGGAGCTGGACTGCTGCCCTCCCAGGAGTCTCAGGACCTGGCGGGCTTGCTGCGGGATCCACCCAGTGCTCAGGCCCCACAGTGGCAAGATGCCAGCCACCTCCCCTCCAGGCCCCAATCAGGACCACTCTGTCCCAGGAAAAGAGCAGCCATAACTAAATCACCAGTCAGCAGGTGAGCGGAGGCCCTATGGGGTCGGGTGCACTGGATCTCAGGATGCACTGAGCTTGGTAGAGATGTAGATGCTCAAGCTCCTGCCTTCCTGGGTACCCCAGGACTTTGGGAGTCACCCTGCACAGCCTGGTGCAGGTTAGTGGGAATGCCAGTGTGGGTGATACTGGCCCACCCCAGAGGCAGACTATGGGCTGATGTGAACTTGTTCAGACCTCTTGGGACAGAGGTTCTAGTTAGGGTCAGATTTATTCCACTTGGGGTCTCCTGGGATCACCTCTGGATCCTGTCCTACTCGTCACAATTTCATTCCTTCTCTCATTTTTTACCTCTTTCTAAAATGTGTCCTTTATCACACCTTTATAATAAAGAAACAACTCTGCAAATGAGATCTTCGAAGGGGGCAGTGCAGGGAGGTTGAGGGCATTAATCGTGCCTCTCACCAAGTGGTAAAGTGCTGCTGCTAAATTGTTTGGTGATTAATTTATCAGTGACAGTGTTCATAGAATAAAGTCCTAGACACATGGAAGTTGTGAGAAGTAACCGTAAGGAACTGCGCTTCTATCAGTCAGGGTCCAAGGATCGAGGCTATGGCGCACACCTGACAGTGCAGGTGTCAGCACAGCACACAGGTGGGGTAAAATGCCACAGGTGTGTGAGATAAAACACGAGTGTGATAAAGCGCCGCATGTGTTCATGAGGGGCAGGGCAGCCCTTTGCTGCCAGGAATTGGTGGAGTGTTGTCCTGGGGCCTGAGAGGGTGCTGGGCTCCCACATTGGGACGTGGCCCCCGTAGTCATGGGGAGCTCCTGGGAGCTGTGCTCAGGCCTGAGAGCTGTGGCTCCTGCTGTCCAAGGGTGAGCATCCAGGTGGAAGCCAGCAGGTAGGGAGATCTTTCCCAGAGAGGTCAGTTTTACCTGCCAGGCTCTGGAGAATCCACGGGAAGAAGGTGGCTGTTTTCATGTTTTAGGGAAAGAATGTTGATACTAACACAGAAAACACCTCAGTAAAAAGGGCTTGTGGCTACTTAGGGCTCAATGACAGTGATGGATGTCAGCCTCAAATTAGTTTGTTGTTTTTTTTTTTTTCTTTTTGAGACCTTATGCGGCGATCTCCCAAGGGAAGGACAGGGGAAAGAGAGTTTTGGGGTATCTTTTATCTGGCAGTTTTTTAAGTTATGTTTATTGGGGTAATGTAATGTTGGTTTGCAGTACTTAGGGGTACACTTACGGTTCACACCTCTGCAAATGTGCGTTACCACCTCACACCCGCCACCAAGTCCCAACGATTCTCCACCACTGTCCAGTGGGCCTCCTGCCCCTCTTGGAATTCTTTAAGAACTTCTATTTTAGAGCAGTTCACAGCAAAACATGAGGGGAAGCCATAGAGATTCCCTACATACCCCCTGCCCTTACCACGCTCCCCAGGCACAGCCTTCTCCTATTAACACTCCACACCAGATGATACATTTGTTATCATTGATCCTACACCAATGCCTCATACATACCTCAAACCCAGGGTTTACAGAAGGGTTCTTGCTGCTGTGCCTTCTATGGGTTTATACAAATGTATAATGAGCAGGTATCCACCATGATAATACCATCCAGAGTGATTTCCCTGCCCTAAAAATCCTGGTGCTCTTCCTATTCATTCCTCATCCCAACTCCTGGCAATCGCTAATCTGTTTACTATCTCCACAGTTTTCCCTTTTACAGAATTTTAAAGGTTCTTTTAACAGGAAAAGATGTATTTATAAATTACTGGTATAATAACAAAGAAAGGAGGAAAAAACTTTTAATATACTGGCTTATTGTGGATAATGTTTGCGGGAGACAGTGGGGTTCAAGAGGAAATGTTGGGAGAAGACATTTTGTGGACAGGAGCTATCAAGAAGATTGGCAGTAACCAACTTGAGAGAAAGACAAAAGTTCTGACATTTAGTGAGATCAAGAACACACGAAGAGGTGATGATAATGAGGGTAAAATACTTAATGCACTTTGAGAGACAAGCACCAATTGATCAGGAGGTCATTAAGATTTGTTGGGTGGGGCCTCCCCAGAGGCACTGCGGTTGAGCACTGTGTTGCGAAGCTGCCCACAGCCTTTGCAGCGCCGGTTCGATCCCCGGCCACTGAGCGAGGGTCCCACATGGCGCGCAGACCTCTCCTGCCATGCCCACTGCTCCCCTCAGCAGTGTACTTCATCAGTCAGTCTGCCTGCTCTGCTCTCCCCTCTGGCTCTGGTGAATTCTCTCACCCTCCCGCGCTTCTGACTGTACCCAGTGCTTGTAAAAATAAATAAATAAATCTTTTTTTAAAAAAAAAAAAGATTTGTTGGGTGATAAACTAGATTTAAACATGAATAATGAGACCAGTAACATCTAGCATCTCCACATATACAGAGATATTAGGTATATATTTTATTCATAGATGTGAGATATATATTAAGCATGGATTTATTTTAAAGATACCCCAACTTTTTTCAAGTGTCACTTTTCAGAAGGGAACAGCCCTAAGGTTCTGGCTCAGCATAATTAGAAAATTTTTAACCATCCCTGGGCTGGTTTGCCATGCAAATGTATATAAATTATTTCCTTGTCTGTTAAATACAGTCCCAGAAAGTCACATTACCTTTTAGTTGTTTATTTACCAGCAGTATCTATACTCTACCCACTCCAGGATCTTTATCCCTGACCTTTGTTTCTGAAATTTAAATTTACAGAAAGGTGAGTTGCAGCTGTTGGCGTCCAGGAGGTGTTTGGCTGGAAGCCTACATGCTGGTCACCACAGGATTTGGACAAAATCATTTCTAAAGAAAAGGCCTCTGTCCTTTTCTCTGCTCTCCTGATGGGCCTTAGCTGGTCCACTAAGACCAGCGAAGACACAGGACTTTGCAGATGTTAAATCTTGACCTGTTCACTGGGGTCTGAACAATGGTTCTATGGCACAGATGGCTTCTCAGAAATGCACCTTCACTGGAGAGCAAAATGTCGTGTGACAGACTTACATTTAATTTATTTTAAGTAAAGCCCTCTAGGGAAAATGTCCCAGTTTTTTCTTGATTGGGTATTATTTATAGTACACTGGTTGGGTTTAATTTCTCTTTTGATAAAATTGCGTGACTTGTATCTAAGGCAATTGACGAATATATATATATATATTTTTTTTAAGATTTATTTATTTTTATACAAGAGCTGGGGTACAGGCCAGAGGCACAGGAGGGTGAGAGGATTCACCAGAGACAGAGCGGGAAGCAGAACAGGCAAAGAACCAAAATACACTGCTGAGGGGAGCAGCGGGCGCAACAGGAGAGGTCTGCTGCGCCATGTGGGATTCTCGCCGGCTGGCCAGGATCACACCCGCACTGCAGGGCTGTGCACGGCTTCACAGTGCTGTGCTCAGTTTTTTCTTGATTGGGTATTATTTATAGTACACTGGTTGAGTTTAATTTCTCTTTAGATAAAATTGCATGACTTGTATCTAAGGCAATTGACGAATATATTTTTAGCACTTGTAACTGGTCATGAAAAAATCTATTTTCCATCTCCACCTCAGGTCACAGAGATTGCCAGGTGAGCCTCGGTTACAGAGAGTTAGGGGCCAGCACTGGAGCAGCCCCTGTCCTATCCATAACACTGTCCCATTCCTTTTGCAGGTATGAATGCTGCTGTCCGCGCTGTTGTGCGCATGGGAATATACGTAGGAGCCAAAGTGTACTTCATCTATGAGGTCAGTGCTCCCTCACATTCCTGCTTTCTCTGACTCTCCGGAATGCCTGCCCGAGGGCCAGTGACCATAGCCCAGAGCTGCAGGTGAACTGCAGGGAGCCCAGTCACCCAAGGGGCACCTGGGGTCAAGTTACCTGGAGTCTGCATGCCTTTATTGAGGTGCAGGGCTGTGAGATCCTGTGATGGAGTGAGGATGGAAAGGAGGTCCTGTCACAAAATACCATTTTGATATCAACGTGTTGGTCTTGACTTCTAGAATAAATTCTCTCCAATTGACTATATTTATTTGTACCTCTCCTTCCTCATGGAGTGACCTATTCATTTAATGTAGAGACTGAATTTGAATAATAAATGGAGAAAAGCAAGTACTTTGAGCTTTGCATCATTAATGTAAAATCTAGATGTGCTCCCTAATAATTGCTTGTGCGTAAACTTCAAAATTAAGAGTCTGAAATAAAACAGCAGTGATTGTCCCTTATCTCCTGCTTTTGAGGTCCTGGAAACTTAGAAATCTTTGGAGGGAAGGCACCAATATAATTTGGACCCTATGATGTATTTCAAAAATTATTGGGAAAAAATTAGGTTTTATATTTTGTAAAGCATAAGAAGGCTTAAATATGGAAAGAAGAATATCTTATTTTTACTTTAATGTTTTTTAATTGAGGTAACATTGGTTTATAACACTATATGAATTTAGGAGTGTAGGCTTGCCATCTCTTCAGATGTACGTTACCACACCTACCACCAAAACTCCCTTAGTCCTACATGGGAGTCTCCTTCCCTCCCCATCTGGGAGCCTTAATTCTACAAGCACATTTCTATAGTTTGTTTTGGTGTAATTCTCTCTCTTCCTTTGCTTTGTTTCATTATATTCCACATAAGTGAGATCATCCTGTTTATGTCTTTCTCCTGATTTATTTCACTTAGCAAAATCCCCTCCAGTTCCACCCATGTTGTTGCAATGGGAAGACTTCACCTTTTTATAGCTGCATAGTATTCCATTTTGTATTTATACAAGAAGAAAATATTTTAATCGCTTAATTCCTCCAAAATCACTGAGTATTTTATTCTTTTATACCAGTATTATATATGTGATACACTAGAAGGAAATAAATATGTGTACTATAAAAATTGTAGCAAATACATTTTGTATAGTTATTTTCTACCTTCTGCTCTAGTCGTTCCTCAACTATTGCTTTATCTAAATTCCATCCAATTGTTGTATCATTTACTCAGCCTTTTATTTACTTAATCACTGCATCCCCAAGCATCTAGTTAGGTCACTCCTCATTTTTCAACTCTCATAACATAACCAGAGCTATATTAGCATTTAAAGCTATTCTGTGTTTGTGTTATTACCGTGTCACAAGATACCTCACTGATTGAGTTAAAAGGGATGGTCCTTACAAAGGGCTAATAAGTTTTTGAAACTTATTCCAACCCACGCCACCAGCCTGCCATGCACAGCAGTGGCAGTACCAAATCCTCAGTCCTGTGTGTGGGCTTCTAACTCCTGAGAACAGGTTCAGTTCCTGGGTCTGTTTACTGAGCCATTTTCTCCTTCTGTCAAGTGGCTGGCTGTTCATAGTCTGTGTTCCCAATGACCATTTGCTCACAGTTTGCTGGAGGGGTGTTTTCTCCAAGATTTGCTTTGTTTTTTTCAACTGTGACTCTGTGGGTTAGTTTTTACCCGATTTGGTGTTGTTGAAGGGTAACTATGATCAAAGCTTTCCTGGACTATTGTTTTATCATTTTCCATTAGGATCTTTGAGGGTCAAGTTGCCCTTGTGAGTGACTCCCCATGGGCTTGCTCTGCTCACTGACCTGGGGTGAGCACATCGCCACCCCTCACATTTTACCTCCTCCCTCCCTGCAATGTGTGACTTTGCATACAGTAGCTAAAGTGAACTTCTGCTGCTGCAGAAGAGTGTACAGGCAGGTGCACAGGTTCCTCTGCCCTTTTAATTTTGGGAGGGGAAGGTTTGCATTCTGCCTTACAATGTGAGCAAATGCACACCCTGGCCTGAAAACAAAGCCTACTAAGTGAGCCTGGGCCTCAGAATCTCTGGGGGTTCAAGCTCCCTTGGATCAGGCCTTTCTGTCATAATTAGCAAGGTGTTTTCAGATTCCTGGAGATGAATTTATCTAGTCTCCTGCTGTGGTCCTGATCTCCCTGGTGAAGTCATCACTATTGTACCAGCTCTGTCACAACAGAAACACTGGATCCCCAGGCGGACTCTAGGGACATGGGGAGGGGTGGAAGGAGTCATTTAAGTATTTCCTCATGAAAGAACCTGAGTCCTCCCATGAACAGGTGACCTGCTTTTGTCTATACTTGTCACTGGGGGCGGGAGGCTGAGAAGAGCTTGAATCCCCCACCCTCCCATCTAGCCAGTAAAGGGATGTGTTTTTACCCCGGAAATTCTCCAAAGTTGGAGACATTTTTATTTTAATGGGGATGGGGGACTGGCATCTAGTGGGGGGACGCCAGGGATGCTGTTCCACATCTTATGATGCAAAGAACAGCCTCACAACATGGAATTTTTTGGTCCCCCAAATGTCATTAGTGCCAGGGTCAAACACATTAAAGGGCCAGATCTCTCTTTGGTGCAAAGGTCAGTAGTCAGAAGGGTGGGGTTAGGGGATGCTGGGTATTTTTGTTGTATCTTTGAATATCAAAACCAATACAGTGACTTGTCAACTCTAAATGATCTTTAGATGTAAGAGGGTTTTTGTGTGTGTGTGTGTGTGTGTGTTTGCTTATTGATAAAGTGCCCTGCAACTGTGCATCTGAGTTCTGAGGCTACTGAGATGTATCCGGACCCTAACTAGTAGATGTTCCACAGTTTAAAATTAAGGACTTGGGAAGGAATGTTTAGGGTGTGCCTGTGCCTTAGAACACTAGGGCTTCCCATGAAGGTGTGTTGATACAGGGGAGCAGATTTATTCTCTCCATTGTCGATGAGGAAGATGGCTCTGAGGCCCACTTTCCTCACAGGTAATGAAGACTTTGTTACTGATATTTTTGGAGTGCTGCATCCTTCACGTCCTGGGTGAGGAGAGTCAGCTGGTGGAGTCCTGAAACTGAACAGATCCCACTTCCTCCTGGAAAATGCAGTTCCTTCCTTAGAAAGCTACCAAAGAGAATCCTGACATGGAGATAGCATTAGGACTGTCTTGATTTCCATGCACCCTAGGCTGAGGGTGTGTCAAGAGCATGACTGAAAGGAAAATGGGCTGCCTCACAACTGAAATTGCCTATTGAGGTTACCTGCCATTTTGCAACTGTCATCACACAACCAGGTTATTCTGTACTTGGTGTCTAGTGACTCCAAGATAATGGCATTGAGAGAATACAATGCTTTTCATGACCCCTCCCCACCAAGAAAGATAGAAGTTGTTGAATCTGTTCTTTATGTCCTTGCAGAAGGGGCTTCTGGATGCCAGTCTCACTCAAATCTTCAATTCCAAGTCCCAGGGACTCTCATACCCACAGGACTCTGCACAAGTGGGCATCAGTATTGTCTCGTTGAACGAGTTGGGTTGGGGAATCATCTCTGTCACAGCTGTGCCGAATCTGAATTCTCAAGTGCAAACATTTCAGAAATCTGCCTGTTTTTTTCTCATTTGACCAACAAACCTCAGTAAGGCAGTGTGACTTGCTCTCTGCCTCGAGTGGCCATCCCTAAGGTGGTGTGAGGTCAGTCTCATTCCCTGCAGCATCTGCTTCACATCCTGTACCTCCCCACTGCTGCCATGTCTCTCCCCAAGGCTTGGGGAGATGGTTGAGGATGTGCAGTGTGTTGCTGGGTGATGGAGATAAGTAAATGAATCTTCTGGTTCTGTCTCCTCATCTGTTCAGTGAAAATCAATGACCCTTCCTGCACTTGGAACAGCTTTGAGATGAACTGCACATTGGGGCAGGGAAGGGGGCTTTGGGGTGCAATGCCATGATTTAGATGCTTTGACTCCATTGGGTTGGGGCAGGCACAGAATCAGGGCGCCTGCCTGCTCTCACTTCCCATAACTGTGGAAACCCAGTCTCCTTAGTTGACTGCTGTCTGGTCAGGCACTGCTGGGCAGGAACAGGGTTTCCTACTGAACCACAGCAGGACCATTGGCATTTGCAGCTGGCTGGTCCGAGATGCCCAGTGACCAAGCATGTTTGGCAGCGTCCCTGCTTCTGCCCACTCCTCCCCTCTAGTGGGAGGGTCAGAAATGTCCTCAGACATCAGAGAGCACCTCCTGGAGGCCATGCTCACCCTCCATGGGTTTTACCACCCTAGAACTCTTTGGGTTCAAATTTAGAAGGCGTTGGGTTTTATTTTTTTAAAGCATCGTTTTATTATGTTTCCAACATTTGTGTTCATTTGTAGTTTAGTATGTGAGTCACCAAGAACTTTTGAAGTTACTAGAACCCACACACCCCAACAGTGAACAGGTCAGCATTATTTCAATGAAGGGTTTTTGGGTTCTTTTCTTTAGCAGAAAGTGAGTGGAAAGTGTAAATAAATCAGAAAAACCTGCCAGATCTCTGGCCCCAGATTTGTTGTTTGGCTGTTGCTGGTGCTGGGTCTGTCTGGAGTGATGTGAGGTGCATGAGGAGCCTGTGGGCACCAGCCAGGGAGAAGGGGAAGAGGGCGAGCCACCCAGTCTTTCCACCTAATGAGCCAATTGTTTTTGTTTTTGCCTTTTAAGCTGGGATTTTCCTTAGAAACCTTGTAAGTGCCTTTAGCTTCTTGGAGAGGGCATGGCAAGTACATCACATGCTCTGGCAAGAGACCGCCAGAGCAGATGGGCCTGGGTTGGGAGGAGCAGAACCAAGAGAGCAAGGCCCTACATTCTGTGATGCTGCTGACGCAGCTGCAGAAATAGTCTAGTTGTATTTGGCTTAAGATGAGGGTTCACTGAAATACACTGCTGAGGGGAGCAGCAGGCGAGGCAGGGGAGGTCTGCTGCGACATGTGGGTAGATCCCTGGCCAGGGATTGAACTCATGCCA